ACAGAAAATTGCAATTCTTGAATGTGTGCCAGGTTTGTGGCGCAGACAAAATTCTTTAAAGCTCATTTATGTTAGGGTTAGCTTCTGTATTATTGTTAGTTAATAATGAAATATATTGTAAAATCACACAAGAAAAACTTTTTGTTAGCCACTAAAGGCGGTTTCTTGTGCATGTTTTCGAGTAATTGATAAATCTGATTCGTAGTTCAAGAAAACTGCGCCACAAACCTGGCACACATTCAAGAATTGCACAGAAATTTGTAAGTGACGTCTAACGTATACAGTACCTACCGGTATTTACCACCGTGATAAATGTCATTTGCCACTTAAACTTGAGCATTAAGATTAGTCAATGTCTACATACCAGATACGTATTCTAAAAGAAACAATTAGCTGTTAGCAAATGCTACGTACGATCTACTAACAGAGGTTATATTGCTGCATTATCCACTTTTCTTGAGTTTTGAGTTGTTAAAAAAAATTTTAACCAATCAGATTTGCTTTTTTTAAAAAAAATTTTGGCTACTTTAATATGACCTCTGTTAGTATTATTCGGGGTCCTATCTACATACCGATACATATAAAAGTGGTTTTTCGTAAATTTCTCCTCGCATTTAATACACAACCCTTTCAAAGTTTGAAGGTTTCAAGGTTACAATTCGCAGAATGCTCTCACTGAGTCGCTCTTAATAACCACTTTTATGAACTGGTGAATAATTTAACGAAAGAAGATATTACTGCCATCTTTATTAAAAGTATGGTACTTAACAGGAAAAGGTTAAATATTTAACATTTTTTTGCATCATTTTGTTCATAGAAATCTCAGAAACAACTTTGCTTTAAAAGAACATTATATACAGTATCTAAGATTTTGAATGAAAACCTTAACGTTAAAATCACAGATCGATGATGTCGATGCTAAGCTTCTTAGAAACGTTGGTCACACGTAACACTTAGATAAATGATATCTCGTGATTGTCTTACACTAACGTTAAATTGAAACACCTCAAGTTTTAAAAGAAACAAAAATCATTGTTTACCGGTGCAGAGTGTAGTACTGTTGACATGGACCTTTTAAAGATCACAAAGGTTCATTTTCGAAAATGCCGGTGATTAATAAAAGAAGGAGGAAAATGCTTTGCTGATTTCGTCTCATTTTCTAGGTCGAAAATGTCCTACTTGAAAGAGGACGGATTGCTGTGGTTGGAACTCTTTACCTGACGTCGCATAGAATGATCTTTAAATGCCCACATCAAAAGGATGAATTATATGTATGCTTTTTAAAACAATTGAGGTTTTCTATGCCATTTATGTTTGATATGTTTGAGTCTAAGCCTTAAAAATTACATGTATGTTTAGATCTTATATCCACTTATCCATACCGTCGAGCGTCGTTCCCCTACTACGGATCCCAAAGCTTGGCCTTTAACTATTCGTTGTCGTGATTTTAACATTTACACTTTTTCTGTGGAAATGCAAGAAGATGCGATCGATGTTTTTAATACAATACAAAGATTAACGTGTATCGGTATGTGTCATATCTTCGTTTATATATTTTTTGAATTTTGTTGAACTAACTGATTTATTTGAATTAAAAAGGTTCTATCAAACAAGTTTATGCATTTGAACATATATTGGAAGAAAAGCTTTCTTCATCAGGCGGCTGGTCTGTCTATGATGTACTACAAGAATACGATCGAATGGGTATTGATAGTTCCTGGAGATTTTCAATTGTGAATCGAAGCTATACTGTACGTGTTACTTTCATTTAATTCACTACACACTTATGCAATTATGCTCTTCTTATTTTAAACATTAATAAATGTAGTTTTGTGCAACGTACCCGAGAACTTTGGTAGTTCCAACCAAAATTAGTGATAATGTTTTAAATCACGCTTCAAAATTTCGAAGTAAAAATCGCATACCAGTGTTGAGTTATTTACATTGGCATAATAAGGTTAGTCGTTTTTAGTCATACTTAAATAAAAATAAACTTTTTTCTTTATAGTAATTTTTTTTTTTTTTATTTTACCAGGTTTCTATAACCCGCTCTAGTCAACCAATGGTTGGACTTAAACAGAATCGTTCAATACAGGATGAAAAACTCATTGAAGCTATTTTTCGGTCAAATGTTAAAACTTTGTCTGAAAGAGTGACTCAAACAAATTTAATTATTGATGCCCGTCCAACAGCTAATGCAATGGTCAATGTAGCGATGGGTGCTGGAACTGAGAATGTGGAAAACTACAAAAATTGTGAAAGAAGATTCATGGGTATTGATAATATTCATGTAATGAGAGAAAGTTTAGGGAAAATGGTTGAAGGTATATTATATTCATTTTATATATATGGGGGTGAGTCAATAGAAATCAAGCAAATTGTTTTTATTGAATTTTTTTAAAACTTTATATACCAATAATTTAACCAAAACTTAATCAAATTTAATAAAAATTTTTTTAAACAAATTCTATAAGTTTGTAGAATTTATTTAAAAAATTTTTATTAAATTTAATTAAGTTTTTGTTGAGTTATTGTTGTTTAAAGTTTAAAAAAAATTTACTTAGAAAAAATTTGCTTGATTTCTATTGACTCAACCCCATATATATATATATATATAATTTTTAAATTAATTACTAATTGTAAAACAATAAGCTTTTAAACAACCTCTATTTGCAGTGCAGTAGTGACAATTATTAATTATTAATGATCAAATAACTAATATCAATATAATTTGGTTAAATGATACTTTCGAAGCATATTCACTAAAAAAATTTAGAAAAATTATTAGTTCAGATAATCATCAAACACTTTAGTATTAATAAACCTCAGAGCTGATACACAAAGTCTAGTAATGTAGGCAAAATTTTTGTAATGCAGGTCAATAATCAAGTGCCACTGTAATGTTTATATATATAATTTGTAATTTTAGTAAATATATTGTACTGAAATGATAATTAGAACAGTGAAAAATTTTTCAACCAAATCAGTATAAAATCGTTTCAGAAATAATGAAAATAGCTGTAATTGACATTAACTACCTGTGTTTGTTTTTTAATTGACCTGGTGATCTATCAGATAATTTATTAGATAACCCATTGGGTGATCTGGGTGGTGACTTTTTTAAACTGCCTCATTTTCACCTGGGTGGTATATTGTTCACCTGACGGGTGACCCAGTTGAAGATTTTTTAAACAGGTCAATTTATTAGTTAAATAGGTTATTAACTGGATTGTTAACTAGGTTGTTAACTAAAGTGTTTGATGATTATCTGAACTAATAATTTTTCTAAATTTTTTTAGTGAATATGCTTCGAAAGTATCATTTAACCAAATTATATTGATATTAGTTATTTGATCATTAATAATTAATAATTGTCACTACTGCACTGCAAATAGAGGTTGTTTAAAAGCTTATTGTTTTACAATTAGTAATTAATTTAAAAATTATATATATATATATATATGGGGTTGAGTCAATAGAAATCAAGCAAATTTTTTCTAAGTAAATTTTTTTTAAACTTTAAACAACAATAAC